CATTAGCTATCATTTAAAGAAACACTGTGTGTTTTAGGCTCGCATCGAAACAACTCTCATTTTGTTGGTAAGCTAGAGTCCTTCAACACGATGATGTGGGATATAATAGTGTTTATCCTATCATAATCTGTGTCTGGCACTAATTCTACGTGTTCTAGTGAAAAGTACTTTTCATAAACTGAATATCTGGTTGTAATTTCTTTCATAGATAACAGCCTCTTCTCCAAGTATTGAAATCTTCTGTTTTCACGGAGTCACCTAGAATATCTCTATATGTTTGAATGGTAATGCAACGAAAACGACCTGATGTTCTCTAAATGCGAGTTTTAAAATGTTCTTCACAAAGGTTTTTCTCATTTGTTAAAGGTTGTACATTTGGAAACTTTTCTAACTCCCAAAAAGAATTACTAACTCATCTGTGTTGTATTCAAATGATTTAACATACTGGCTCAAAATTTGTAGATTTCAAAATGTAGTACCCGAAATTTATCCATCCAACCTCGAATTTAGAGCAAATGTAGATCAGGACCACGTTTGACAATTTCTTCCCGTCATTAAATGCAGAAATACATTTACTCCAAATAAAATTCAACTGTTGTGATTTGTAAATAATGGATCAGCTAATTGTAAATCACTGAAGTTATCGAAGATGATTGATGGCAAAGATACATAGGGAATGTTATCTGTCACCTTGTCCAGTACAACGCTGATGTTGATACACGAATATCACTTTTAAAATGAGAAGTGAATACTAAATCGACTTCCCATTACTTATAGTATTAAATTCCTAGACATGATACGAAATGGAATTATCTTTCACTCGTAATCCTAATTCTTCACAAAATCCCTTGAAATAAATGATCTCTGAGATCCAGTATCACATAAACATCTAACTTCACAATTGTTGTTCAGAATTTTTAACTTTTATTAAAGCAGTACCCAATAAATGTGATACGTTTACATTTTCATGGAATCATAGGAGAGACACAACTGTGGCTGAAACATCCTTAGACTCGTTATTCATCTCTTTTAGTGATAGATTGCGTAGGCGGAGATATACTGTTAACTGAGTTTTATTCTTTGATTATTACAATGTGCAAAACTGTGATGCTTCTTAAAGCAATGTTGACATTATTTAAACTCTTGCATTTTTTGAGCAAGTGTATATTAGATAAACAAAAAACAGTAACGATTAGATTTTACAAATTCTATCCTTTCTGAAAGATAAATTTAGAAATTTCGAACATTTGGCTAACTATGATCTTCTTTACAATAACCACAACCCAATAGGCAACCAGAACATTATTCTTATTTTGAAACACGATTTAGGTACCTATTCTTGTTGATTTCTATTTTGAATGTTCTTGCATAGTTTTTTTAGGAATTCAATTAAAGTCGTAAGTTTTGGAATCTCATTACTTTTAACTGACGTTCCCACCATAATTTTGTAGAAGGGTCTAATTTTTCAAATATAAGTCATTAAAATGTCACAAAATTATCAATGTTTTGATTCAATACTCCTAAAGAACGAATTACTTCATAAATATTGTCAACTAATTAAAAGCAAATCTGATTCATTTTGAATAGTTGGTAAGCTTAGAAAACGTTTAATATATGCAAAAATTGTCTCTTTTATTTGAATACTTTCGTCTAACAATTCCACTATTTCAAATTAAAATCCGAAATTTGAATGCTTTGAATCTGCGATATGCTTCACCTTTCACAAACCCTTCAAATACTGCAATTTTGAGCATTAGATAAATTTGTATTATTTCTTACAGCACTGAAAGATTTAAAAGCTATCCATTCCAATTACCACCAAAAGTCGGTAATGTTAACTTGGGTAATTTAATATTATCAAGAACCTGTTTCTGAAATTCACTATTAGAAGTATATTTGATTTTTAATATTTTTTTACCTTTATTTCCACAAATAAATTTTATCCGTGTACTCCTGAACATATATATTTCGTTTTCTAATTCTTTTAGTATCTGTAATTAAACTTTCGATTTCAGAATCAAGCTTCCTTAACTCAGTTTCTTTGTGTCAAATTCGAACATCCCTAGTTCTATTAAATTATTTCATCTACAGTAAATATTTCAATTTTCTTACATAGTTGTAACATTCCTGCGTAAAACACTCTTTTTGTTTTAAAAGTTATAAGTTCACTCCTATTGATCAATTCAAAAACAGAAATTATTCTTAAATACTTAAACTATTATAAAACGAAATCGAATTTTTATGCTGTATTACAAATTGTTCTTAAAATTTTATAACGAATTTTTAGTAGAACTTGTTCAAAATCCACTTACCCTCACAAAGTGGAGTAATGTTCACCAATTATCATATTGCGTTGTTACAATGCCTTAGAACAGTCCTTCTTTCCTAGCACTCCGGCTAGACTTTGACCATAATAAATTCTTTACAAAATATGTTTCACAAACAAATAATCAACTCAACAAATGGGAATGTATTCCGTCACTTTTATTTCATACATAATATAGATAAGATGTCAGCGATGCGAAATAATTGATACAAAATAAGCGAGCCATTCTACATGGCTGTCACAAACACACTATCAATTTATCTGCCACAATAAAGTTCAAAACTAAGGAGAAAAACAAAAGAAATTTACGCTGTTTCAACAATAAATGAAGCAACGATACGCCATACAATATGTGTTAGTGTCCGTCACTTTCTTTTCCATAGTGCGCTGTTCTTCTTTCTTAAAAAAAAAAAGTCTTGCTGAATTTACCTGCCGCCCCGTAGATACCTGTCGAGATCTCCCGCAGTTGACGGAGAAGTGGACATCTGGCTTTTATGTTTTTCATTGCATTTCTATGACCTATGAGGTTTTTCAGGTAAGACAAATTTTCATAATGTGTTACTAATACAGAAATAAATATTTTCTGTAAAAAATGAATGATAAAATCCTTAAATGTCAAGCAGTTATTCATAATTTTTCCCTTAAGGTGTCGAGATTTCCCTGAACGACCTTACTTTTTTATGCAAGATCAGCTCATTTCACTCTAGAAAATCATTTAATAAGAATTCTTTGGTGATCATATTATATCTCGTTGAGTGTGCTCGCATAGATTATACCATCTGTTTCTTCTACATGTTTATATTTATGATTATTACTAGATATAAAGCTCAAAATCAAATGGTCGAAGTATAAACACAATTTCACTTCTTAAAACAAAAATCTTTCTAATTCTTCATTTTTTAAAATTTTTCAAATAATATTATTTTATTATTTAATAATAAATTCTTGTACAGCTAAGAAAATTTGAATACGACCTATTTATGCATGCACAAATGATACCTCTCAGATATGGAATTCTTCACACAGGGCTCAACGCGTTTCTATGTTGCTTCAGTTCGTTTCGGGATAATTAGTCCATTGATGCGGAGACTGGCCCTTGCATGCTGTTGTTGGAGTGACGCAGACCGAGATATTCACCAATAGATGGGTAAACAACGTTTATTTGAGTAGCGTTTTTTTTTTTTTTTTTTTTCATACTGCGACGAAGATACCCCTTGCCAATCTATCATGAAGGTTTCTTATTGTACATTTGTAATTTATGGGTAAATAAAGGTTGTGTTGTAGAAATGCAATGGAATACTCCGGACATCCATTCTTATCCTTCTTAACCCTCACTCCCTGTTTAGCTGAACAATTTTAACATTTCTACAACACACCTTTATTTTCCCATAAATTACAAATGTACAATAAGAAACCATTCATGATTATACTTTGCTAGTCGTTATCTTCGTCGCAGTTATGAAAAAAAAAAAAAAAAAAAAACACGCTACTCAAATAAACGTTGTCTTACTCCATCTATTGGTGAATATCATCGGTCTGCGTCACTTCCAAAAATAAGAATGTCAATGGCCATGTCTCCAGCATCAATGGAATGATCATCCAAGAAGCTGAAGCAAACATAAGAAACGCGTTGAGCCCTGTGTGAAGAATATTCCCAATATCTGAGAGGTTATCATTTGTTTCAGTGCGTAACTATGTTCGTATTCAACTTTTCTTTAGCTGTACAATCTATGATGGTAAGCATATTTATTAGTATATTGAGTAATGTTTTAATTTTCAAATTGTTATCTTTATTTTTGAAAGCTAAAGCATTACAGTAAATGAACATAAGAAAATAAATGAGTAGAAAATGTTTTTTTAATTATCACCTCCTATCGTTTAATCTCTTAAAGTCATAATCTTAGAAACGATGCTATTTGGATATCATCTTAAAACCTTTGTCTACTACACAATGTCAACGAGGTCTAAGGTCAGCACTAAACTCGCAATTCGATTAAAAATCTTTCAGCATCAATTTGTAACGAGCACGTATATATTTTTGTGTGTTTAGCCGTTTTAAGACCATCCTGGAGTTTTTGAAAACATCAATTTTGAAATCTAACACTGGTTGACCTGTTCTTAGCTTGACCTTATAATATTTATCTTGAAATTTAAGAATAGCATTATAGTTATTGTTGGTATTATTCTATAAAATAATAATATAAGTACAAGACCCAGTTCGGAAGTAAGTCGTGTTTATTTTTCTAAGATATATTCCTAAACAGTGGTAGCACATATCATATTGTGCTGTCATTGCCATCAACATGCATCCTAACCATGTCATGGGAATACAGAATATGGCTGTTACATTATGTAACTGTATGCAAAACGCATTTCATTTTGAATATTGACTACAGCAGTCTTTAGTGTTTTCATTATTAACAAAGGATAAACACACATAATTTTTTTAATATTTCCAATTTATTCATTTCCATTTTTTGGATTTCTGATAGTTTACACAGCATAACATTGGTTTGCAACCTACTTTATGAAAGTAAAACAAAATCGTCCACCTTTTTTTTTTTTTATTTTTTTTTTTTTTTTTTTTTTTTTTTTTTTTTTTTTTTTTTTTTTTTTGGTATTTTAAAAAATTAAAAATTTATAAAAAATTATGCGTAGCCAAGTGTAAAAATTTAAAATATTTAATATTTATGTTTTCCATTTCAGAATTTTTAAACTCCACTGTATGCTATAATAGATATCTAACAAAGCGAGAAGACTGCGTGAGCAAGTATTCAAAAAGTAAAGAAACTGATGCAAAGACTCTTTGTTGGTACGCTTCTAAAATTTATTTATTACTTTTTAATATCGCTTTTTAAGGTTAAAGTAAAATAGCGTTAATGTTATTCCTATTCGATAACATTATTATTCCATATATGATATGAAGTGTTCAGGATAAGAAGGCATAGAATACTTGATTGAACCACACATTAAACACAGTATTCTTTAAATTCATAACTGTATGCGAAGCATGTAGTGTAAATTCAAATAACATCGTCAAATGCATCCAAAGTTTGCTAATATGCAATTATCAAATTTTGTTTAGGCTACAGAAGAAATTATACTGGGATGCCATACCATGGTATTTTATCATATTATTTGCGACATACACTCAAGGCAGAATATCCTAGTAGTATGAGCAAAGATGCTATTTTTTCTACACAATTATGCATATTTTAATGCTGTTCGTGAAGCAGAAGTTGGACTTCTTTAAAATGGAAACTTATAAGCTCTTTCTCCTGACTTCTTAGCATGCCTTCGTGGTGTGGTGGTTTGCACGCTGGGTGAGCATTCCAGAGGCCCGTGGTTCAATTCCCGGCGAGGGCATTGCTCATTTTTCATCTTCTCCGGCTTCAACAAAAATCCTAATGTCTCTACAATGGCGCCTGAACAATATTATGATCATTTTCTTTTAAATTCTCAAGAAAATATTTGAAACTGGTTTCCCGTCTGCATTTTGTCTGCTTGGTTTTAGATCGATTTACACATGGAAGTAGTTGAAAGCATGTGAAACTTAACTCGCTCTGTATGTTTTATCATATTATGTTAAGTCAAATACAATTAAAAGTATGCAGAAAACTTGAAACCTTCTTCTCATGTTTTTTATTACATTTTCTTTGATTTCTTATCCTGAAAACGTTTTAAAAGAGTCAAAAAATTATCTTTTATTTTCTTCTTATATGATTAAGACAAAGTTGAGCTAGTTTCTTACACTTTTCAAAATATCTTACTTTTTTACCATGGAGTAAGTATTTTTTTAGCCCTATTGTATTCGCTTTTATGATCTTGAAATTTGTCTGCATTCACGTGAGAATTTGGAAAGAATTCTTTGAAATAAAAGAAACAATCATTTTTCAGCAAGAAAGGAGAAATATTTGAATATTTTATTAAACACTAGATTTGATATATTTATTGAATTAAGATTTTTAAAGTTTTTGTTCGTATAAAATATATAAATTAAATAAATTAATAAAATACACAGCAGAAACGTGGCTTTAGAACATGAGGCAAGTGCGTTCGTTGGGAAACGTGAGGCAAGTGCATTCTCAACTACTGAGAAAATTACTGACGCAAGTGCATTCTCAACTAATGAGAAAATTTTCGCTATTATTTACTTGAATATAAAACATATCTCATATCCAACGAATAGACTGCTTCATACAATCTTAACTCAATTGGTCTAAGATATACGTATTAAGCCATAAGAACTCAAAATTTTAACTTGATTTTAGGCAATTTCAGAAGTTCACAAATACTCGCAAAGAGTAGTGAAACAGGCTTCTAAAAAGTATTTTCAGAATTCTTAGAGACATAATAGTCATGTCCCAAATAGTCAAATGAGTTGCATGATTTCGGCAAGGAAAATTATACTCGTTACTAAATTTTTGTTTTTACTTCTTATATTTTTCTTTAATTATTTAACGTTTATTTTTTCGCTTTTTTCCCCTTTCTTCAACAGTCATTTACAAAATTGCATAACATTAATTATGCATACCATGAGTTATAAAGAAGTTGATTTTATATGTAAAATGCAACATGGAAAATCCCAGTTTTTCTCAATTATTCTTTAATGTTTCGCACCAGAGTACTGCTCTAGCTTCAAAGTAATTCCAATCTGTTGCCTAATTTTTCCCTTTCACAGTCAAAATATATAGTTTACTGTTACAGTAACTTGCGACATGATCATTATAGTGATTAGCGACACCAGTTGTAAGGCAACTATCCAGAATTCGTTAATGGCTGTTTTGAATCTCGGAAAAGGGCTTGGATGTTTGCATGAGTGTAATGTATGTACGTGTGAAGTGTCTGTTCAGCATAGAAGCATTTAAAATATTGGTCAAGAGAAAGCCCTCTAGAGAGGCTTGGTGCTAGGAAAACAAGGGACCTTAGGATTCGCCTTCTAGGGTATTCTCAATAAAAACAAGGCAGAGATGTACAGTTAAATGCGGTGGGACTACAGCTGTAAAAGCATTGGTGAAATTTTGGTGTCCCCCATTTGTCCCTGTTCTATTACTTTAACTTCAAGGAATAATTACTACCAACGAATTTCATATGGCATTTCCTAATTTTTCTATTTTCCCTTCCTCAGTGGAGAAAGCAGCTCCCTTTCTTTCTTTTAAAAAGTATAATTTTTTTAATTGAGGTTAAAATGGAATAACTGTTTCTATCGTGTTAAAATGTAAGGACACATTTCTAAGAAATTCTTAATTTATTTGAGATAATTTTAAAGTAAAGAATCCTTCCTACTATAGACAAGAATCTTCCTACTATAAAACAAGAATATGTTTAGTGTTGAAATGGATTCCCTGTTTCTTTCTTGTTAAAACATCAGAAATTTCTAAGGAATTCTTAGTTCATTTGAAATAATTTGAAAATAAAGTAAGATTTCTAATAAGCAACGTTTTAATCTAACTTTGAAAGTTATCATTATCATTCATTTTTTGTTCACCTTTTTGAACAGGGTGACGGAAATCAAACTCTACTCTCAGAAAAAATGACATAACAGATAGCGGTTTGAGGTCTGCTTAAATTAATATAGGGGTCTTCAACCCGTGGCCCACTGAAGATATTTTGGTGGCCCCACATATGAATTTGAAGAATTTTAAGAAATTTTGATTTCAAGAAAAATTGCCTTGTCAGCTTTTTGTCGCAAAATTTTTTTTTCTCTTATTCTTGTTATTTAAAATATTTTATTGACATGCCTGATATTTGAGATAACATTTCCTGTAAATGACTAATTTTTCAAAAATTTCACTCCTTCTTACGCAATTGATCCTTATGTAATAATGTTCCAACTCAACTTCAATTAGAATTTATAGATTTACAGTGTAACTATGCAGTAAAATGCAAGTTTCTTGAAAATCCTACATTAATTTATTTTTATTCGAAGTATGTGACCGAAGACAAGCATCCAGGAATTCGTAAACATGCACTCGTGCCTTATATCTTTGGCAGTACTTACATATGTGAACAGCTTTTTTGTAAAATGAAAATCCTAAAATCAAAAACAAGAACATGGCTGACAGACAACTTTGAGGAAACTTTATGAATTGCAAAAACACAGATTAAACTGGATATTGATGCTTTAAGCATGCAAAAACAATATGTCAGATTTTCACATTAAAACTAAAGTAATTGCCATCTCCTGCCAGTAATGTAAGTTTTTTTTTATTTTTTATTGCAATGCATTTTCTAACATTGTTCTGTACAATCATCTTTATACTTTTTTTCATGGTTAAAAAAGATTTAAAACATTTTAACCCTTTCCGGCACGCTACCTTTTAAAGTCGGAGTTTTGATTAAAAAAAGGGTAGGCAGTCTAATTAGGCCTAGAGGAGTACACAAGTAAAATTTTATGAAGATAGCACTTATTGTTTTAATTCTGTGGATGTGCCCAAAGTGGCATACTGATTGAATAGAGCTTCGAAAAGAGTGCTGAACCGAGCATTTTTGTTAATGAACTGATCGATGAGCTGCGGAGAAACAAAGAATACAGACTCTTAGTTGTCCTAGATTATCGGTGAGCCCGGTCTGGGCACACCTAGGGTTCACCGTTTGATTTTAGGCAAGATTTCAAGGTAAAAATTTTAAACTAATATAGGATAAGGAGATTAGCATACAGCCAAAAACATAACATAGAAATTTCTTTTCGAACAATTTCTTTTATACCTTAAAAAGAATCTGGAAGATTTCTTTGAAAAATGAGGTTCTTAAAAAACTAAGCATGGCTAAAATATATGGACTGGTTTGTGCTGAGCTGCCATCCGCTATAAATAAATAAGTTTCAGAGTAACCTATAGTAACCTATAAATCCTTTTTCATTCAATTTTCCTGTGCGTACAGAAGGAAATTTTTAGGTGTGTCCAGACCGGACCCACTGTGCCGCAAAGGGTTAATTCGATTTCCATCTGACGTTTTACAACCAGTTTAGATATATATATATATATATATATACAAATCTGTAACACTATCTCTTCTCTTAGAATTAATTGTAGCTTTGCAAAACATACCTCCCTTTTTTATATAAATTTTCTGACTACACTATTTTTTTGTTTTTTGTTTTTTGTTTTTTTGATAGACATATGGCCCGCGGATCTTTGTGAATTCATTCATGTGGCCCTCGGGCGTGAAAAATAGAAGACCCCTAAATTAATACAATAAATAAACACTTTTTTACAAAAAATACAGCCTTAAATTAACATAAGCATTCAACTTTGCTCCAATGTAAACACAGCTGAACGTTACAGCTATATGAGGAAAAATAAAAATAGCGTGTTGTAATATCCTGAAACGAAAACATAGAAACTTTTTGTTTAAAGGTAGACGTAAATTATTTTTAGTGTTTTATGAATAACAACAGCGCCCTCTTTCGGCGGGCTACAACACTGTGGATGTTGTAATATCTTTATTGTTTAACTGTCAGAATGGGACATACGACCTCAAACTTTGCTTTCAAGTCCCAACCGTCCAGTGTCATTTCCCTAAATAATCTCCAGGCATAACATTCAGTTTTGTTTATTTCATTTTCCTGCCTTTTGCAACGTTTCACTCTGAGGTCCACCTTAATGCCGTCGTTGAATAGTTCGTGGGTAGAAATTTTATATTTGATCCCATGTTTTGTAATCTTTCTGATCTGGAGTTTTTTATGTCTTTGTATTTTCTTTAACTTTGAAAATAGCTTGGACACCCCCTTCCCCTCCAAGAAACTGACAGAGCGAAATATTTTGCTTAGGCAAAATACTTTTCACAAATTTTAAAAATATAAACGAAAAATTCACAAAAAGGAAAGATTTAATACGACGTTCTAACAGTATTAAGGTTACCGAGAAAAATGAAGATAGATAATCATAAAGTTAAAAACTGAAAAATCAAAAACGTATTTTATAAAATTTATTACATTCAGAGCAACTGAAATAGATTACTTATTTCAAAATAACGTAAATTACATTCTCTGAATATTCTCTTAAGCAATCATTGTTCTGAATTTTATAAAATAAATATCTTAAATGGTACTATATTATATTTTACTTCTTTAATCTAAATGAATTAGCATACATATAAAAATTTCTTTTTAGCTCGAATCTGAACACTCTGAAATGTCTCAGAAAAGAAATGAATGTGTGCCCTAAATATTCCACAGATTTCGAGAACAATGTGATCGAGACATACCGAAGCCCTCACAACGTCATCTGCGCACCTTATACCAGCCTCTGCAATAGCGCATCTACACATCTAGTGTCTGCACTTGTTGTATTGCTCGCTATCAAATTAGCCTTTGTGAATTCAATTCTATAACAGAAAGATTATGCATTTTTCATAACTGTCTGTTCTCAATAGAATAGCTTTTGTTCCTGTGAAACAGCTGGAGGCATTTCTGCAGTGATATTCAAGTGCTGACAGTGTCAAAAATCTGATGTCTGGAAAAAGTACTGTAATGATACTTAGATGTTGATGGTGCAAAATCTCAGAATGAATATAAATTATAAAACAAGTTTGTATATTGGATATTAAGCTAATGATACAAATTATAAAATCAATTTGTGTATTTGGTATTAAAATCCATAATAAAATTTATTTAGTTTGATGACTCATTTAGACGAGTGGTGGCGAACCTATGATCCGCGAGTCAAACCCATGAAGGCTTTTTAAATGACCCACAGGTTGATATTTATAAATTTATTTTTCATCATGAAAAACTGGACAGACAATTGTAAATATTAAAAAATTAAAGTATAAATATCTAATGTTGAATTGATAAAAAAATATTTCTAAGTGGACATTGGCCAACTGATTTTCTATCATTGTTCAATCAACACTCAAGCCGCACATCTTGCGTCTCCTCCGATGATTCATTACACTTTTAAATGTACAGGGGCCTGAAAGTTGTCTGATACGACGCACCTAATGCTCGTATGAAGGAAATGCTACAAATGTATATATTATAACGATAATGGTAGAAAGATTTGAGAAGATTTAATTATTTTCTGATTTCTTATTCTTGTATAAACTCTGTCTAAACTATTCCAGTAAACTTTTCTCCCAAATTAAAACTGTAATATTTTAGAGAATGTTTCATTGGAGTGGCTTTTTCTTTATTAGAAACCATGATTTTCCTTAGCCGAAAATGAAGTAAATATACTGATTTTAAATCGAGGACTCTGTTTTCAGTATTATACTCGTCTGATAAATTTTTAATGACGTTGATTTTCATTTTAATTCTGTTAGCAGCTTTAAACCTTTGCGATGGAATGAAAATCTTTACATGTCGTTTAAAACCTTTGCTCAAAGTTAGAAACGTGTAACAACATTATACATAGAACATACTATGATTCCATTCCCACTCGAATCCAAGCTGTATTGCATGCCAAAGGCTGTATTAGTAAAGCATTCCGTATAAATCTAGGATATTTCCGTTATTTTGATAACCATCTGTACATGCAACTATGTTTATTAATGAAGAATATTTCATAATGAAAGCAAAAACAGAAAGGGCCAACTGTCAAGATTTCTGTTAACAAATTTTCAGTGTTTCCAAATATTACAGTTTTAATTTGGGAGAAAAGTTTACTGGAATATTCGTACCTTTTTTATCCCCCCTTTCAAGTAGCGCCATTGACTTAGTCCCTTTCAAGTAGCTCCACTGACTTAGTACCAAACGTAGATTCACTAGTATAATTCAGTGAATTTATGTCTGGTACATATTTATATAAAATATCTCTAAATGAACTCCTGATGTGGTGTTCTTGGAGAATTAGGAGCTGCTTGTCCTAGACAGTTATGGACTCCAGGCAATACCTGAATAGTCTGTGTAAGCCGGGTGTCTGGAGGCGGTTCCATCTGTCACCTGACTTAGTGATCCAAGCACTAGTATTTAAAAAAATATGAATAAAATTTGACCCACTTCTTAAAAAGGTTCGCCATCGCTGATTTAGACTGACGACTGATACAGTTGGTAGATGTTATATTCATTCACGAGAATGTAAAGATTTAAAATGAAATTAATAAAAATTTTAATAATGAAAAAAGTATTTGGTTAATACGAAACAAAATAACATTTGAAGTAAAAATACCTAAAGAAGTACGTTATGGATTCAAAACATTTTAATTAACTTTGGAAGTTAAAAATTATAATCAAATTTAAGTTTGTTTTACAGTGAGCTTCATTCTCAAATGTCTATTTGTAAAATGAGTACGATATATAATTTCCATTTTAAGCTGATTTATTTTACACCTAATTTCGTCATCTCTGTTCCTTATGGTTGCCAGAAATATACACAATTAAATTTATCAAAAATTGGGCTCAGTATTTCTCCATATTTATTTAAGCTAAAGTTGTAGAATACGTTCCTTACGTTAAGTTATTTAAATACACTGGTGAGCAAAAATTAAGGACGGAGTCGAAAAATTAGCATACCAGCTGAACGAAGAGGCAGAGCGGACAGAAAGACCAATCAGGAGATTAAGTAAGGTGATGTACGGTAGCACATGCGCAGATATGCAGGTAGACGTAATGGGGGAGTGTCTGAGTAGTATAAAGCATGTTGTCGGTGTAAGATCAGTATTTCTGGCAAAGAGATTGCACGCCGTATAGCAGTTAAAATCACACCGAGTTGCTGCCTCAGCGAGGGGAAGCCGCAATCCTCCCTCGAACATCATTGAAAGGGACATGTATGGAGGTGGCGGTGTTCTCGTTTGGGGAGGCATCATGCTTGGTAGTCGTACAGACCTTCACATCTTCGACGCAAGATCAGTCAACGGGAACCGTTATTGTAAAGAGATTCTTCTTCCATATGTGCGTCTTTTTAGAGGTGCTATGGGTCCGCAGTTCCTTTTCATGGACGACAATGCACCATGTCATCGCACAGTAGCTGCCGAACAGCTCTTAGAGAGTGAAGATATTGAACGTATGGATTGGCCGGCACGATCTCCGGATCTCAATCCCATCGAGCATGTATGGGATTTTTAGGCAGACGCTTGGCAGCTCGTACCTTACCACCAGTAACGATTCCGGAGCTTCGATTGGCGCTGCAAGACGAATGGGCAGCAATGCCTCAACAACTCATTGACACCCTCATTCTCAGCATGGGCAGACGCTGTGAAACCTGCCTAGCAGTCAGGGGAGATCATATCCCCTATTAAAGACCGGATGTTTCTTGCTGGACACCCAACACAGGGATGTTTCAGCCTTCAGTCGCATTGCGCTCCATGCTACTTTTTCAATAAAGCTTCTTTTTATCCCTCTGATTTCTCTTTTAGTAAGTGTTGCTTACATTACTCATGTCCTTACGTATTGGGGATGATTTTACGGTATTAAATGTGTTGATTTGGAAAGCTTTTGTACAAATTTATATTGAAAAAACCGTCTCGTCCTTAATTTTTGCACACCAGTGTACAGCAAAGCCACAAGGGCTGTCTCCTAACAGGAGAGATGCCTTCGTGGAAGATATTCTGAGACTTTCATTAGGAATAATACTTTGTGTTTACATTAAGAATAATACTTTTTGTGAATAAGTATTGTTAAATACAATAACTTTCTATGACATTAAAATGTAGCTATCATCAAAGGGTTTAAATCATCCTGTAGCAGTTATAAATGCCATACTCTAGATATATATATATATACATAGCATTTAGTCACTTGGCAGATATAGATTAAAGTCAGGCAATATTTTTATATTTTGAGACTTTCGGGGAAACTTTGGTTTAAAATACCTATATAAGCAAATTTATCCGCTTAATAGTCGGATAATCAATAAATTATAAACGTTTCATTCCATAACTTAACAATAAACACACTGAAAATAAACACGAAATAAGTTTAAAAACACACTGAAAAAAAAACGCGTAAATTAAAAACCAACCAATCATGTTTTGTTCAAGGAATGAATAAAAAACAAATCTGAATATCGTATAAAATTCAATTCAAAACTAGAAATACTATTCAGTTTTATTACTTGGTCTCTGAAATGAAAATAACAGCATAACTTAATCCACGTGCTTTGCAAACGCCTGGCATAAAGCATATTTCACTTGGATAAGATAAATAGCATAAAAGGATAAATGGCATACTGAAATAATTCTGAAGGATCGTTAAAGTAGATATCAACTGCCAGTAGTTTAGATATAGTAGAGAAGTCACAAAATAGCTGAATCTTTCAAATTAGATAATCTGTACTTTCTAGAAACACTTTAAATATTTCGAAACTATTAGAAAAAAAGACGGAACAAGGCCATAAAAGAAAATCAGTGTACCATAATATAGCTTTCCATCTGTAAGTGCTTTTGGAACTAAACACTGACTACTATTTCAAATTCTTATTATAAATTTAGCTTATTCAGCTCCACAAGAATCTACTTTGTATTGTAAGGAACTGTATACAGAAGAGTTGATGGGAAAGGCCTTTATGACAGAAAGCCAGTGGCTCGTGTATCACTGACCTCACAACAAGCGACAATACAGGAAACACCAGAGTATGACACTTGTTCCCTTCATTGACGAATCGGGGTTCATTTGAATACCTGATTCTAACCCATCAACTTTAGAGAACATAATCGCTATAGCAGTCAGATGTGAATGGTGCGAAAAGATATAATATCAACGGACGTATTGCTCTATACGTGTTTAATAGATGGTATATAATTCCTGCGTTATTCGGCTAGAGGGCGCTGCGTGTGCTCTAATAATTAGTGGCAGGCGAGATGTGCTTCGGAAGGAAATATCGGAAGCAGTTGGTCGTTGGATAAAGTCTGTGTTCCGGATAGGGTAGGTAAGGTCTTTTTTAACTTACAAATTCTGAGTTAATATGGATAAGTTTTAGAAAAAAATTAAAAAGAGAAGTAACGTTCATACCAGTGTTACTAAACTAGATAAAATAGTTCAAAAGCTCGATGAAGCTGCCGAATACTTGCACTCATTATCAGATTGCTGGAGCTTTTGGAAACGAAAAATCAGAATTTGAAAAGTAATGATTTACGGGCAGAAGCACTCATAAACGATCCAGAACAATTTAAAAGTGAATTAAAAGTTCAGAAAAATATAATCACAAAATATTGTTTGCTAAGATAAAACTAAAGAGCAAACTTAAAGAATTAAAACCAGAAAATGTTCAGCCGTTCGGTTCTTAATACTTCTAGTATTTCGGAAAACACCGATACGGTTAAAGTTCAGAAATTCTCGATTCTCTGGTGATTCTATCAAGTTTATGTGTTAGCAAATTAACATAATGAGCCAGTTTGTAAAAAAAATAATCAAGTTAATCCTACGATGAGAGGTTGTGAGAAGCAAGTAAAAAGCGAAACTGTTTTGAATAACTTCCAATCTAATTCTAATAAAAGTGCCTAGAATATTTATGTGTCTCATAGTAATATTTGTACCAAAAATAAGACATTCTTACAATTATGTACAGTTTTATCGTGTACGGATATAAGGCCGCTCTTAACTAATCTTATTCTGGATAACCGTAGTCGTAGAATATATATTTATATCATTTTGATTAGTTAAAGAAGTAAAGTTAAGCCAACATTAAGGTGACCAGACGTCCCGCTCTCGGCGGTACAGTCCCGATTTTTAACTATTTGTTGCGCGTCCCGCCGCGTTTTAAAATGTCCCGATTTTTGGGGGATGAATGAACGACAAGCTAGGGAACGGCGGAAGAATACGGTTTTCGGAGGCCATGTGGCTACTTCGCCAGGATATGAGTCTTATATTATTTTTGTTAATTTTATAATGTTAAATTTTAAAAATAACAATTTATTGTTGACAATGCAACATATCGAGAACTGCTTTTCAAAGTTCGCATTGTTGATCAGTTGTTAGAATTCGACCACTATTGTTTGGACTTATTGGCATTTTTTGGCATTTGCAATGACGAAAACATTTTGTAACTGTCTCTCAGACGATACACATCATACTGCGTGCTAGTGCTAGTTAATGTTAAACAAATGATGTCAACAAATCAGCTATTCAGATAATTTAGGTAAGTAATTTATTTATTTCATAAACACATAAATTTTCTTGAATTTAGTAGACAGTACTCTTGTTATTGTATATTTTACAGTGGCGGCAAAAGGTCTAGCTTCGGCCTTGAAAGTGACGCTTACAATTTTACGTTACGGCAAATTCAGAGGGAAAATAATACAAGTTAGTATTGCTATTATTTAGAAAGAAATATAGGATTAAAATTTAAATAATTATTAAAATATAGTTACTTTAAACTAAAAAAACTAATTTAATTTTTAAACTAACAATAAAATATGTTCATGTAATTATGTATATACTTTTTGTGTTCTTAAGCAATATATATAGATAAAAATTTATAATATAAATTATAAATTTTTAATAAATTACTTCTTTAGATTTTTAACATAATGAGTAAGAACAGAGGATGCAAATTCAAAGATGATCTAAGAAGTGAATTTCCTTTTCTTAAAAAAACGAAAAGCAATTTACATGGTAAAATGTGAGCAATGTAATGGTGAATTTTCTATTTCGCCCACCTGAAGGAATGATATTTCAAAGCACTCGGGGACACAGAAACATAAAAGATATTTAAATACTACTGCATCTTACTCCAAAATGCAGGAATTCTTTCGGAAAAGAAGGAGGCGAAGAAAAAAAATTAACATTAGAAGGATTTATGTCTTTTCATGCTAATAATCACAATCATTCGTTCAGATCTTGTACACCATAAGTTTTCCAAAAGTTATTCAACAAAAAACGACAGCAATCTACTAAAAGAATACACTCAAACGAGAAATATGCCAAAGAATAAAATAATACTATACGTAGTTTTTTAATGTATTATATTTGTAAATTGTACTTATGTTGAAATTAAAAAATATATATTACAATACTATTTTTGTGTTCTTTGAAATTTGTGTTGTTCCATATAGACCAGACTTTTAATCAAAAATCCTCCACTGCCGGTAAATGGTGTCCCGCTTTACAAATGTTAAAATCTGGTCTCCTTAGCCAACATGGATAGCCAATTTTGCTTTCGGAAAAAAGATAGCATGGGAAAAGGAA